ATCTGTGCACCTTCGGAGTCCGTAACCATCAGCTTTAGGAAGAAACGAAACGCAATTTTCACAATGAGCTCAGGAAACGCAAGGTTTTGGCACATAGTCTTCATTGTATATTGGGCAATAAATACCTAGCTAAGGCAGCAATAAGATTAAAAGGCATTACCGTTTGTACTACACCACCTTCCCACTAGACTCAAAAGGAGGGAGTAAGAGAATAGGAAAAAGGCAAGAACGCTTAAAGCATTTACGAAATTACAAGGTGACAATTCAGGTATTTTAATGTGTGCGAAGTAATTCAAAAACATCTTTTAGCTTTGTTTTCAACTAGGAAGCTGCTTTTCTATTGCTCTCCCTAGCTATGTGGTACGGAGAGGGGGGGGTTATTGTTATTGTTTTCCATCACATAGATACCAGATGCTCTGGGACCAGATCCTCAGCTGCTTTAGAGCAGAACAGTTCATCACCCTGCAGCAGCACCCACACAGGGCAGACAAATAAGGCGCCCCAAAACATTTTACCATCAGAAAGGAGCTTTGATCAGGGAAGAGGGACAGATATCCGTAACTCCCCACCAGACTCAAACGTCTCTTGCAGCTCTGATGCGTCCAAATAATTCTGGTACCGCTGCCGTTTGCAAAGCTCTCAGGTACCCAGCATGGGGGCATCCTCCTGACAGAAGGAAATCATCTCCTACCTTGCAACTTATTTACTTATAGCAACTTATAATGATTTCTGAATATTGCTTAATAATCCTGCTTGCCCTGACTGCTCTGTGGAAGCTTCCCAAGGACTACTGCATATTCATCAAAACAAAGTCGTTTTCTGTGGAAACTTACTGAGAATTACTACATTCGGCAAAAATAAGAGAAATGTCGTTGGAAAGCAGATGGGTTCTAGCAAGTTTAGGCTTTGCAGTGGATAGCCAGCCATGTACAGGCAGTAGAAATTAATATACCAGTGCTTTTAGGTAAGATAGAGGTGGTAAACCAGCGGGAACCACTCTTGTTATTCAAGAAATTGGCTGAGAGAACCTGCACATGTGCTGAGGAAAAGTACAAGGTGAGAAAGACTAGGAGCCTTCCTCCAACAGACCCCTGAAGGCAACACGCAGGTGTAAAATGAACATAAACTGCTGACACCAGCCTTTTGAACTAACCCAGCCTTGCTTATGCGTATGGATCTTTGTATTCTGTAATCCAATGAATATGGATATCCACACTCTATGAGTTTGGTAAAATGTGCTGTTTGGGCGCAAGATTTGTGGAGAAACCTCCTTGCACCCCCGGCTGGAGTAAACATACCTGCTGTGTAACTCTGAGTTGTAGAGTCTTTCTGTGAATCACTCCTGTCACCGACACGTCGGTGGGGACAGAACACGCAGTCGTTTCCCGCTGGGAAGCACCACGAGCACGGCTGTGTGCCTCTAAGAAAGAGCAGGAGGGAAAGAGAACACAGCTCTGTGCAAACTGCAGCAGTGGCAGCTGCAAAGACCCTCCCCTCTCTTCCTGCATCTTTACTGATTTTTGTATTTTACTGAAATTTTAGATTACATCAGTTAAGAGCTGTATGAACAGAGTGTGGAGAGAAAACGAGAAGCATGTTTCATAGGAAGAGGCAGGACTGGTTATCTGGTTCAGGCGTTGGCAGTCACAGGGACCTACCACCTTTAACAGAAGCCCTTGGTGCAAGCCATCCAACTTCTCCCTGATGTCAAGATTCAGCCCCAGACAGCATGGCTTAGCACAGAGGGAATCTTCTTCTCTAGACACAACGAGGTTATTAACACACAACTCCTCCCCGTGCAGGCAGAGGCACTGCACAGCCCCAGTGTGTGGATCACACCCTCCTCACCAGAGGATAAGCTCAAAGCTCTCCAACACAAAGCTGGGGTCACCACCCACTCCTTGCATTTCATGCTTCTGCCCAACTAGCCTTGTCCGTAGAGCCCAAGCAACAGCTTAACCAACTGCTACCAGCTCCTCGGCCTCTGTGGCTCCCCAGCAGCACTCGCGGCAAGTCACATCAGCTGCACAACAGTCCCCCACTCTCTGCTCGGAATCGGGAGCAATCAAAGCTGATCAGTTCACTCATTTCCTTGACAAAGAACAAATCTGATGGTTAACATGTGTTAAAATAATGCTTAAGAACAAAAAAACCTTACTCTTCCCCAGCAAGAATCCCCCTCACATAAGAAATTCACTAATTGGGTAGAAAAGTGATTAGTGTCTTCTGATTTTTCAGAGTCACACTGAAACCAAGCAAATGCACCGCACAGGATTCAAGTCTGCATATCAGCAAAAATTTGAAAAAAACACCAGTCACCAGAGGAATTTGTGTCCCAGTTTTTCAGTTATTTAGCATGGAAGCTCACCTTTACACTGAAGTTTCCAGCTAGGAACCAGGGATTTAACCATTTCTCATTCAAAGAGTCTGACAGGACCCACAGCAACCTCCAGCTCCATCAAGGCTGACCTTTCCCATCAGCACCAGGCCGGAGCTCCCCAAGTGACCCCAAATCTGCATCCCTGCGTGCCACACAGGGCTGCCTTCAGTCATGGGAGCAGCCAGAAGGAATTGCTGGCTCCCCCGCACCCTCCCAGGCGACAGCAGGCACCCCACGGCCTGCGTGGCATTTTGAGAACTGGTGCGTTGTTAGAAACCCTTGCAGAAATCTGCTCAAATGTCACTGCCTCGAGGCAAAAGACAGACAGAAATCCTCCCAACAAGACAGCCCCATACAGTTATTTAATTTTTGTTATCAGGCTTTAACAATGAATTGATCTTCAGTGTCCCAGGATTTGCTGTTCCTTCCCTGCAGTTGGCTGTGGGTTTAGTCCCCTTGCAATGAAGCCACAGCAGCAGCTCTTAGGACAACACCACCCTGTTTTCCCCCAGATCACAGGATAGTTTGGGTTGAAAGAGACATTTAAAGGTCATTTAATCCCACTCCCCCGCCCATGCTGGGCCACCTCCCACTAGCCCAGGTTGCCCAAAGCCCCGTCCAACCTGGCCTTGAACCCTTCCACCAGGGAGGGGGCAGCCACAGCTTCTCTGGGCAGCCTGTGCCAGGGCCTCATCACCCTCAGCATAAAAAAAATCTCTTCCATCTAATCTACTTTAAAAGACCTTCTTTTTCTGGCTGATACAGCTGTAGAAACCGTTCTGATTACTCTTTGGATCCCTCACCAAGTTCAGCTCCAGCCACACCTTGGCCTTCCCAAACCCATCCCTACACAATGGGGCAGTGTCCCTGTCCCCTTCCCAGGATACCTGTCCCTGCTGCCTGGGCAGAGGACATAGGCACTAACCCAGCTGGCAGCTTTAACTCACATTTTCACATTTATTTTGTGTTAACTTCCCAAATATTTTCCCCAGTTCCATTAAATTCATCTCAGATCATTCTCACCTGCTGTCACCGACTGACCCCAGCAGCACACAGCTCAGTTTATCCAGCCAGCTGGAGAAAAAACAGCTCACTGGGCTCTGTGCTGCAGTGTTACCTCCACCACCCTTCTGCTTTTGCTGTAAACACCCCTCAAACACCTGCTCCGCACCTGCACGTCCCCATGACAAGTTTTGACATTACTGAAAGCCCAAAGCAGGCAGGTGAGGCACACCTGCCTGATTCTGGCAGCTCAGCACTGAGCTCATGCCTGCAGGACCCGTGACAGCTCTGCTTCCATCACCGCAGAAGCCACAACAAGCTCCGTAACAGGCAGGGACAGCCATGCCTTGGCTCAGCGAGGTACTCACTGAAGACAAGGATAAGGGGACAGAGCCCTTTGCCACCACACCAGAGAAACATTCTGCTCCCTCACCACCCCATCTCGTTCAGGCACATTTAATCACTAGCAGAACAAAAAAAAAAAAAAGCAGGCAGTGGGGATTCCCAAAGTAGATGCCAAGCAGTCATCCAGAAGGAATCAGCCATTCCAGGCACAATCAAAACATTCAGCTGGTCAGTGATCTCACACAGCACAGTGTAGCTTCAGCAGAGATGCTCCAAAAGCAGCCTGGACAGCAGGACAGCACCCTGTTACCTTCAACCCCCTCAGAGAGAATCAGAAAACCTAACTCCAGGCCTTTAGCACCCTTGACAAGTGTTTCTTTACCCACCTCTCTGCAGTTCTATCACACCACAACCTTGAAGTGGCTGGAGACTACAGAAATCAGAACTGCATCAGTTCACTCACAGGAAGCTTGTGCTGCCCAGCACATCACACAGGCCAACACCTGCCCTGCCCAAAGGCTGCCACTGGCTCAGGATGCTTTTACCCTGCCTTGTTTTGATATCAGCTGCAACTTCCCACGCCCTGAAGATCTCACAGAACCATCTCGGTTGGAAGAGACCTTGAAGCTCCTCCAGTCCAACCATGAACCTCACCCTGACCGTTCCCAACTCCCCCAGATCCCTCAGCGCTGGCTCAGCCCGACTCTTCAACCCCTCCAGGGATCCCGGGGACTCCCCCCTGCCCTGGGCAGCCCATTCCAACGCCCAACAGCCCCTTCTGCACAGAAATCCTTCCACAGAGCCAGCCTGACCCTGCCCTGGGCAGCTTGAGGCCATTCCCTCGGGGCCTGGCGCTGGTTAAGTACAAGCCAGGGAAGCTTTCAGCACAATATTTGAGGTACAGCTCTGCACCACAAACAGGCTGCAGTATCACTTTTTTTTCTATGGTAGCAAGAGCAGTTTGCCAGTACCCAACCCAAGCCACTCTGGCATTACTGGCAGCTACACCCCAGCAGACTGCCTGGCTGTTCACCTATCAGCCATTTTAAACAGACCATTTTACTGCTGTTTGCACATCTGAGGGCTCAGAGGCATCACACAAGCATCATCAGTCTTAAGAGCACCTGGTTTCATGTGGGGAAACTGAGGACAGCAGGGCAGGCCCATAAGAGCCTGTCACTAGTGCAGCACCCACTCCTCTAGGAAAAACATGAAGGCAGTGAAAGCCCCGCAGCCATTAGAACCTTTACAAAGGGCAATTGCACAGACATCAGTAGGGCAGTGAAACCATTTATTGGGTAGGGCCGCGCCGAGATAGTGCAGATGTGTCACGAAGGCACAGAGAAGTCCCGGGAGCTTCTGGCGACAGCCTCATCCTCCCAACGCTCAGTCCAGCTGCAAGAGAGCGAAAAAGGCGGGAGTTGTCAGCGGGAAACGACACATCCATCCCTCCCGCACAGCCCCGGCACCGCGGTTTACCTTAATAAAGCCGATGTCCTTGGCGTACTGGCGGAAGCACTGCCGGCACATGTTCAGACCGTACTTGCGAATGAGGCCGTGGCGGTTGGAGCACACGCGGCTGTGAGGGAAGAAGAAAGCAAGGCCGGTCAGGCCGGGTAATGGCGGCGTGGGGTAGGGGGAAAAGGGAAGACGGAACGAGGCGGCTGCCGCAGCCCAAAGGGATCCGACACCCCCCCAGTGGCGCACACTGACCAGGAGCGGGAGCCCTGCCCGAACTTCCTCGGGTGGCTCCAGTAGAGCTGCTGGTGCCCCATGCTGCCGGCAGCGCGTCCCAACGGCGAGAGGAAGATGGCGGCCCGCGCAGGCGCTAATCAACGCCGCGCCGCATCCCGGCATGCACCGCGGCCCCCCAACAGAGCGCATGCGCAGAACAAGCCCGCTCCCCCTCCCTCCGCGGCGTGACGTCAGGCGGGAAGGCGCTGTAGGGGCGGCGG